GAGGTGTGTAACACCCACTGCCCAGCTAAGGACCACTAGAATAAACTCAGCAGTTTGAACTCCATCTGGTTAATATTCACGTTGGCATAGAGAGGGCCAGCAGGATCATTTGGAAGAGTACATGACAGTACAAGACCAAAATCATTATGTCCATATTTTAGAAAGCAGGCTGAAAACTCACAAGCAGAAGACACAGGACTGAAGTTGGTATCTCCTCCAAACTTCTTTCATTATTCGATGTACCAGATTCAACTAGAACAGAAGAGCAAAGACTAGATGTTTAGGAGCCTGTGCACAGCAGGCCCTTGGCCTTCATTCATTTCACACACCAGTTTATGTTAAACACTTCTCATGAGACTCCTACTAAGACTTCATTATCTTTTTTTTCCCCCTAGGAGCTTAAAATATGAAGTTAGTATAATTTAAACTGTCACTGAATTGCCCTGTTCCAGAGGTTTACACTGCTTACAGCTCATCAATCATGGTGCAAGACATTCAGCATCTTAACACATTGTGCTTCTCAGAGATAATTCATCTCATGCTTTTGCATCAAATTCTCAAAGATCTGTTTGCCATGAAAGCAAAAATTGCATGTCCAAGTAGCTGCACATTTGGCAAGAAATGGTCCCAAGGGCTCAAACAAAAGTGGATGATGTTGAAGACAGTGGAATCCTCAGTTTGCCAAGAAAAGCCTGCAGGAGGAATCATAGATTCTGGCAAGGAGGAACGATGAGACAAGCAAATGCCTCTTCTCCTCTGCTGAGTTTCCTTTTTGTCCATAGTGAAGTAAAACAACCCCCTGGCCCATATTGTTGCTTCTTCATGCTTCCAAACTGACCTGCACTACAGAGTCAGCACACCAAAGCCACAAGCTGTTCACCCTTGGGCCATCTCAGCTTCTGCAGCTGACAGAAACCACACGTGAAAGAGCTGAAATAACTTCCTCTGGCCAACTCTCACCATTGTCATGTGTAACCACTTCCATATCTCAGTAACACAACTGAGACACTTCCTCTGTGCCTTTTATCTCTGGCCCTCACAGTGCAGCAATCAATCAATCCCAGGAAACTCTCGGGAAGCAAGTCTGACCCTGTTCTGCAAGGAGGTGTCACAAGAAGTTACAAACCCTCTCCCCTGACCCAAGATGGCCAAAATCCAGGAATCCTTTTTCTCCCACTCTCTTTTCTCCTTGTTGGCTTTGTTTTCTCCAATGTCTAACTTGTCACAGGCTCTGAGCAAGAGAGAAACAGAACACAGGAGAGGTTCACATGCAAAGGCCTGAACTGGAATATTGGTCTTCAGTAATGGTCCTCTGTACCTCGGCTAGAAAGCTCTCCAGATAGCACCTTTTCCCTCTACCACCACTCCATCCAGCCCTGTACAGCTACTTGATGCAAAATAACCACCTAATACTTTCCACTTCCACACTTTCTATATGCAGTGGAAAGATCCTGTTTAATCTTTCTGGAGTATAGCAAGTTTTCTAAGAAATTAATGATTTCCAGTGTTCAGAGAAGGATCACAGGAACTGCACCTGCTGCTGGAATGACTTTCATCCCTGGCCAGCACACAGGTAAGCAGGTAAGGCCTCTGCATCAGGAGCTACAGCTGGATCTGAAGGATCACTGTTGAGGTAAAGGTTCTCAGAAGCTCCAAAATCACCACTTATTATTTGTGCAATAAAAATGGTTTCCAGGAGTATGGTACTTCAGAACGAGTATTTTTTTGCTGAAGCACATGGCAAACTGCACAGCCTTCTCAGGGCATAGAAAGCTAACAACTTCTTCAGTCACAGTCAGCCTAACTACCAACATACTTGAATCTTAGATGTTTGTGACATGACACTCTCACCAACAGCACAACTCACTTTGGAGGTCAACACCCACCATGGACATTGTAGAAAATGCATGCAGGAAGAGATACCATGACTCAAACTTTCTTTCAGTGTATAACACACAAGATAATGTCTGTGAGGGAAAGGAAACATTATCTGTTGGATAGAGGGAGCACAGGCAGCCTCCTGTCCAAGGTTAGCAATGAGTCTCTGGGGTAACCAAGTTAAGAGCTACATCTGGACCAGACAAGGCCATTTTTCATTGAGTAACAAAGATGGACAACATGAAGTGTTTTGGGGTGAGTACCAGAAGCCCCTTGGAGGGGCTCTAAACCCTTGGAGGGCTCTAAACTAACAAGAGAACACATGACCAACAGTGTGACAGCACACAGGATGACCTAGGCTGATATTGTTGTCACCTTGCTGTCTTGAAATGTCTGCATTTCAAGGCATTGGTGCCAAGGAGGCTCAAGTTCCACTAAAGTAAATTGGAACCACAAGTGCTCAGCTCCTGTGTCTGGTTCTGCAGGAAAGACATGGAAGCAGTCAAAGAAAATAATCAGGAGCAAAGGAGAAAAGGGAGCAAGACAAGGTCTTGCTGTCTTTTAGTGACTTGCAGAGAAGTTTCACCAGTAGATTCTGGTTTGCCTCTTTCCTGTGCCATGACATGTCACTCACACTTCCCCACATTACTTCTCTGTATACAAGTACACACAGTTCTGTGACAGCAGCAGCTCTGGTCTGTTGTTTTAGGAGACACTGACAATGCTCCCAAGGTCTTGGCTACACGTGACTTGAGCTGCAATTGATTGCCACAGTGGCTACAACCACAGAGCCTGTTCTCAGCCACCCCTGGGCTCCTGAGTGTAATGCAAAAAAGCAGATAATATCATCTCTTCCTGTTTCACTGGTTTCATTAGCTTGGCTACACGCTGCTGATGCTCCAGAGAACTGTCAGAAGACTCAAACCAATTCATTCCCCTGAAGAACTCTGAGACATTTAGGATAGAGAAAGGTCTAAGCAGTAAGAGTTTCTGATTAGGATGAGGGGAAACCTAAGTCTAACAATGAAATAATTTTTCAAGATTTCCAAACAGTCTCTAAGATGCATCAACCAGGGGCAGAAGCAATTTTTAGAGACACATTATCTTTGTTTATATATATATTCATTTCTATGAATAAGGCTGTGAATTGAGCTAAGAGTTTGCTAATGGGGAGGGCTGAGATTTGCTTTGCAAGATTTAGTCTACAATAATTTAGCTTTGTAGGTCAAGGTTGCATAGGTGTTTTCATATTTTTAATCTTAGATTCTAGTATAAGTGAACAAACTAACTATGTAGCTTACATAGATACATAAGCTATGCAGCTTACGTAGGTTTCTCCAGGCAAAACTCTGTCTCCTGTCACACCCACAAAAAGCCCCCTGAAGGCAGTATGTAGGAAAGGTGATTTACCCACATATCATGTTGTAATGAAATTTTTTGTCTTAATTAGTATTTCCCCCAGTGCAAAAGACATTATTCAAGACCTGCAGCAATGCATTCCACAGGGAACCAAAATGGATCTGAAGGCCATTATTAGAACTTTCAGGATGAGTTCCCATTTGCATTTCTGGAAGTAAACCATTTGTACAAGCTGTAAAGGGAACAGTTTCTTCTGTATTCTGAGTGACTGGTACAACTCTTCTAACAATACTTTAGTAATATTATTTCCTTTATCAATATACACAATATTAAGCTGAATAATATGTTTAACCACCTTAAAAACAATCTCCTTCCCCCAAATATATGCTATATACACATGGTACATGCCCAAGGATCTACCATGCAACAGACACACTTGCTCACAATAGTGATTATGAAATCCAACTAACCAGGTTTGCAACGTAATCCAGAACTATCTGGTCAATCTTCTTTTTTCCTACGTAGGGTAGATGTCTCATAAGGTGATCCTTTAGCTGAGCAACCATCTAGAAAAGAAAGCAAACAATTCAGTGTCCTTGGGCATCTTCAAAGAGATGCAAAAGCTGCAGCAGGTGCAGGGCCTGACCAACAGGCACTGGCTCAAGGAAAGGTTTCCCCGTTACAACACTCCAGTTCTGAGTGAGATCCCAAAGCTACTGTACAGTCTTGCCAAATTCAACAGCAGATGTGAATATTCAAAATGGTTACTTGGTCCAAATTCAGCAAACTGAACTTTCAAAGATACTAACAAAGCTTCTAGTTCTTGCATCAGTCTGGATCAAGCCAAGTGAATGGAGTGAAAGGAGGAGTTCAATATGAACATTGAATCCTGAGAATATAAGTATTTATTACTTACAAATAAATCTTAGAGATTTTATGATAGAGAAAACTAGCACGAGTACAGGTTGTGGTAGTAGCCAAGAATCTGAGAACCAGAGTGATTAATGGCAATTTCAGGTTACACATTAACTGTGAAGTCTTTAAAACTGAGTGTTTGTTATCAGACAGGCCTTGCCACTCCCTACCCTCTCCTTTGTGAAATATTTGCTGACCTCATGTAGCTTCAGATAGCAACTACAGTCCATGCTGGTTCTTTGCTGAGAATTACCAAGCAGCATTATTTGTTTCAAAGCAAAAAAAAAAAAAATCTGTCTTGAGTTTACATGTAGATTTATTTCTATGTGTCAAGACAGCAACAGAGGTACGAGGAAAGCATAGACAAGGGACAGCAATGACCTCCCTTTTGAATCTGTCTGAATAAGCAGCAAGGAAGAAATGCAGAGAAGCTTCAGAGAAAGAGATGCAGAACATGGAAACAGGAAGACAAGACAGCAGAGAATGAGAAACTGCCTCAGGTTGGGACAGATGGGACAGTGTTGATGTGCTCTTCAGAGATGCAGTGCTGAGACCTCCCAGTGCATGCTGAAGGATTTTGCTTGGTTTTAATAGGAAGAGAATAAGAGATAAATAAAGATGTGTATGTAGACAGAGGGAGGACAGGCAGGGATTTAAGCTGGGATTTACTGCCCAGAAGCATATTGATGGCAGATCCTTTAGGGAGATCACTAGTGAAAAGAGCATAAAAGAGGAAAGAACCTCAGAATGGCCATAGCAGCCCCAGAATGAGGCAGGAGGAAAAGCAAACAGTGAAAGAGGTGTTAAATTGAGGACTAAGAAGATCTATGACCTCTATGAAGAAAGCAGTATGGGGAAATTCACTCATATATGTTCTAAAGACATAAAGTAGTCCAAAAATACAGGACAGAAGGAAAGCAGTGTGGGGAAATTCACTCATATATGTTTTAAAGACGTAAAGTAGTCCAAAAATACAGGACAGAATAAGGAGGAGGTGCTATGCAGGATAGAATAACAGTTTCCAGTTGAAGTTGTATTAGGAAACACCATTTTGACCAATCAGCTTTCCATTGCTGTTTTTCCCCGATGCCTTAGACCTGCTAAGATGACATCATAAACTCTAGGAAATGCCATGTTTGCACCATAGCTGCTCTGAGTGAGCTTCCACCCAGCACTGGCACTTCGTAGCTTCCTCTTTACACATTTGTGGAGGCTTCGCGTCCCCTAGTGCACACTGAGGAAAGCACATACCAGTCCCATGAGTAACTGCTGCTGATAATCCTCCTCTTCGAAGAGAGGTACTAGCCTAGCCCCTGAAACAAACAGAGCAGGAATCATTCAAGGACGTGACACTACAGAAAGACCATGAGATTTCAACCAGCTTCAGAAGTACTTAGGAATATACACACAAACAAACAGAAGTTGTGGCTTGATCTACTCACCTACAGAACTAATTGAAGAATCATGGAGTGCATAAGAGAGAACTGAGAAATGGAAAAACCCCTTTATCTGCCACCCTCTTCCTCTTCTCTTTGGCAATTAAGTAAGAGTTATCACAGTGTGGTGACTCAAGAGAGCAAAGAGGCACAGGGAAACTTCTGGGAACACCAGTGCAAATACATGTGCTACTTAGATCTTGTCATTTACAACCAACCAGGCTAAATCAGCTGCATTGGTTTTCCAAGGAAATGGCTGGACAGAAAGTCAATACTCCAGAGAATAACCTCCCACTTTGCTAGTTCTCTCCATGGTCTGGCTGCTTCTTCACTCAGATTTACAACTATTATGAAAAGAACACAACTTTTCTAGCCGAATGGAAGGAAACACAGCACCTTCCAGGATTTGAAGGGCCCCAGGGAAGCTGCAGAGGGACTCTGTGTTAGGAGCTTCAGTGACAGGACAAGGGGCAATGGGTACAAATTGAAAGAGGGGAAATTTAGGTTAGATATTAGGAAGAAGTTTTTCCCTGTGAGGGTGTGAGACACTGGCACAGGTTGCCCAAGGACATGGTGGCTGCCCCAACCCTGGCAGTGTTCAAAGCCAGGTTGGATAAAGCCTTGAGCAGCCTGGCCTACATCAAGACAAGTTTTACTTACCAGAGTCCCATGTGTCCAGATGAGAAAGCACCCTGGGGTTTGAAACAAAAAAAATCAGTGTTTCATATGCAATTCTCCAAAGGATTTCATAAGGACATTAAAAGACTTAAACGAGCCTTTGATCTTTCAAAGACAGCTAAAGAAATCTGAGAATGCTACATGGGACCACTTTTAATGAAAATATTATATAGCATTAAAACATTTCTGTCTAGGTTGCATAAGAATAAATCATCATATCTACCATAAACTCCCTAGCTCTAGAGGCCTGTGTGTATTTCAGAACATGCTGTAGTCATAGAATCATAGAATGGAATCATAGAACATTCAAAGTTGGAGGAGACCTCTAAGATCATCAAGTCCAACCATTAACCTGTCACTGCTGGAACCCCCAAACCCTAAACCATATCCTCCAGTGTCAGATCCAGATGCCTCTTAAACACTTCCAGGGATGGTGACTCCACTACCTCCCTGGGCAATCTATTCCAGTGCCTGAACACCCTAACAGGGAAAACATGTTTCCTAACATCCAACCTGATTCTCCTCTGTCTCAGCTTATGACCATTCCCTCTAGTCCCCTCATTGCAGCCATGGCAGGAGAGACCACCAAGTGATTACAAGGATTCCAATAACTGATTTTCACCTGGATAATCTTCTTTAAAGTAAAGTACCTAATCAGACACTTCATCAACTCGTTAAATGGCACATGAAATCCTTCAACATACTTGCACGAAGTAAGAAAGGGTAAATATAATAAAACCAGTACATACTTTTTGGCATTTTCGAAAATATTCCTCAAATAGGCTGTGGTTCTTCTCTCCTCTCTCTGGTTTAGAAACAAACAAAAATCCCCAAATGAACAAAGCAGAAGGACAACTGAAATACTCCCTGACAGAATGCAGATGAGAAATGAAGCTGGTTTTCCCTCTGAATGGGGATAATGTACAGTGGGACTTCAACCCACCTTGCACTATTTTAAGAGAGTCAGACTTATAGGCAATCACCTTGAGTGAAATGACTGCAAGTCTTTGCCCTTCTCATAATGGTTTTCCCTCTGAATGGGGATAATGTACAGTGGGACTTCAACCCACCTTGCATTATTTTAAGAGAGTCAGACTTACAGGCAATCACCTTGAGTGAAACGACTGCAAGTCTTTGCCCTTCTCATAATCAGATTCCCATTTCTTCATGTTTTGAATAAGAAAAATCAACTTGTCCATGTTTGGCTTTAAAACACTCACTTCAGAGGCAGCTCGGGAGGCTGTTCCAGTGCATCAACACTTACCTCTTCTGAAAGCTTGTGCCATTCCCTCCTGAGCACATTGTTTTGGTAATGCAAGTGTGGCTCTGCATACTTCACACTCTCCAAGTTGGAGCTGAGTTTCTCCCAGAAGCCTTTGGAGTTTTGGAACTGCAAAGGATTGAAGGAAAAGCATGAAGTTGCACTGTTAAAGAAATAGCTCATCACGCTCCCACTAAGTGACTGCAAAGACAGATGATTATTGTAGCTTCATTACAGCCTAAGTGGAAACAGCTTACAAAAAGCAGCTGAACTAATTTCTCTTGATTGCAAGGCCTGGGTAGCATTTACTTCAACTTGAGGTGCCTGTAGTGTAGATACTTTGCCACCTTTGTATCCTCCAAGTCACTGGAAGAAATGAGTACTTCTGGGTCATAATTCATCTAACCTATTTCACATACTGGGATGGGAATAACTGCACCACAGACTACACTGTTCATATTGTCTAGACTTCCTCTGACTATAAAAAGAGCCTTAGGCAACTCACTTAGATGTAAATGTTTACATTTGGTCAAATAAATCCCATTCCAGGTTTTTAGCCGTTCCAAACAGAGGAACACCACCAGGACCCAGGCAGCTGCAGGCTGCCACTATTTTCAAGCTGCATTAATACTTAGATTGCAAACATCCATTTATCAACCTCAAATAACAGTGCCTCATCCCAGAAAAGAAATAAAATCCAAACACTTCCATAGCAATTCTAAAGCCTTTGACTCTAATGCTGAAATTAATTTAAACTCAGCTGTGAATAGACAGCTGGAAAAAAAAACCCAACCCAAACCACACTGATTTCCTGAGCTAGTTCTCAGACTCAGTATAAGGATTTGAAGCTGCTGTTTCTAAAGGGAGGGAGATGAGATCACTGCTGAGGAAGAGATGAGATTGAGCCAATTCTTTTGGGCAGTTTTAGAAAAGAAGAGATGGTACCAGGTGCTCTTGCCCCTCTTAATATACACCATCTCCCAGTACAGACACTACATCAGTGACATTTGAATGAAGAGAAATTTGAGTTCACAATATTCCTCCATCTTGCACTAACATGTTGGATTTTGCTCCTTTTCTAAAATGACAATAACTTGGAAAGAAAACCTCAGAAGGAAGAAACCACTTCCTACTATAAACTACAGTTTGTCAGGGAAAATAAATTTCACAGGCTCAATCCTGCCAGCCACTTTCCTCCTGCTGCCTGTGCCTATTGTCACTTTATTATTGTAGCTGCAGCACAGAAAAATAAACCTCGGGTTTTGCTTCATGTTAGTTATATTTAGCAGCTGCAAACTAGGAGCACATATGGCACCATATGTTCACTCTGTTGGAGCTAACTTAGGAGATCTCCAACCTACTACTGCAGGATGTTGCCTAAATGTTACCAATCTGAAGCCAGAGAACTATCAAAGGTAGTGTGAGACTATCATCTAGTGACTAACTCATGCAACTGCTACAGCAGCACTGCTGCAAAATGTGCTCAGGCCACACTGGACTTGGTTTGATATGCAGCAGGGGGAAGCAAGACAGCAATTTGCTTTCCTATACTAAATCTGTAGCAGGAGGTGGTAACTTCAGGGGTGTTTGCTTTTGATTCCAAAAATCTGCACTGTATTAGATCTCATTAAAAATTCAGTGATCAAACCACACCTGATACTGCATAGCACAAATCTTTTTGTGACTATGGACATAGCCCTCCTAAAGGCTCTCAACTCACAGGCTTGAGAAGTCCAAAATAGAGGATGTTTTTAATTAAATCTGTTGTTTCTTGAGGATCATCAGGACAAGGACTAGAAAAAGAAAACGTCTTGCTCCTAGGTGTTTATTTTGCAGACATTCCTAGAGAGTCAAGGATTAATAGCTAAGCACAAACACCTAAAAGACATTGTATTACCAGAAGTCAAAGCAAGACCTAACCAGGCTGCAATCCATGAAAAGCTCCCATGAAGCCTTTCATAAGCAGTGATTTTTTCACCTGAAGGTAGAGAGCTCTCTGCTATACCTCTCTGAAAGGACATAGAGTGACAATTACCTCTAAGAGGTCCATGTGCTCTCTGGGGGAACTGCAGTGCTGTGCCTCCCCAGCAGGGAAGGCATTCAGAGAGCTGTGTGACTACCTACAGGGATGCACAGGCAGCTACTCCTTAAAACATCACTCTGCACCCCAGTGGCTCAGGGCAGCTTGAGGGAGAGGCTTCTTCCTGTGCTCTGATAACTTGTTGCACTAAGCATTTTCACTCTTTTTCCTGGACCTACTCCTATTTTTTCTTCCCTTCTTCCTCCTGCCCCTTTTTTCTCCCTTTCTGATCAAGCCTGTTTGTACCCCTTCAAGTCTCATATCCTTACGGAAAGCTTTTTGGCAACTGGACTGACCCCCCTTTCTTACAGACTCAATATATCTTGTTGAACAGGAATTCAGTGATAAAAACACACCTGATACCCAAACAGCACAAATTGTTTTGTGACTATGGACATAGCCCTACTAAAGGCTCTCAACTCGTGTGCTTGAGAACTCCAGAAAGCTTCTCCTAGTGACAATTCCCCACTGTTTCTAGGAGATGCCATAAAATATTTGCAAAAGAAATACCACATGTGGGACCTGATTTGTCACCAGGGTCTGACTCCTGATGCCAACAACATGCACCAACTGAAACACCACCTGAACTCGAGCCGTGGTGAGTTTGTGATGCTGGAGGGGTACAAAGCAGCCAGAGGACTAAACCTTACCCTGTGTATTATCATCTTTGTCCTCATGCAAGAGTCAGAGCAATTTGTAGTCAAAAGTAGCAGGAAATATTTGTCTTTAGTTCAACTCTGACCTTTCCAATCTGTTTAGGTTTCAGACAGAAATAGGAAATGAGTTCCACAATCAGGAAGTATAGCTGCTAAGGCATGTGCCCCCAGGGGCTTGAGGTTCAATCTCAGACAAATTAAAGGCCTGCTAACTTTGACCTCTGTGAATTACAGGGATTATCTAGCAACAAATTTTCTCAAGAGCTGATTTTCTCAGGTGTCCCAGCTCTCAGGGCAGCCTTCCCAAGCAAAGCCCAATTCCCTGACAGCATCCCTATGATCCTGTGCAGCACAGCTGGGGTGCCCTGCTGCAGAGTGGGGGAGCAGTGGGCAATTTCACTGATTTTACAAGGTTTTGTGAACAGTGAAGCTTTATCACTAATTATATGCAGTGGGAATGAAAGACTCTTGCCTGTTCAAAGAGCTACATGGAACAAGACAGTCGTGTATGCAGAGTCTAATCCCATGTGTTACTGGTACTGTTGTGTCTCAACTCTAACTCTTCCCATTAGCTCCCCACAACAAACTGCCTGTTAAACTCCTCTTTCAGGTTTTGTAGGGGAATACTTAGGAAAATTTCAAGTATTTCTCTAAACTGGAGCTGAGGGAGTGGAACGGGAAGACTCACTGGTGTTGTTTTCAACGGAAAGTACAATTTCCTACCCAAACAGCATGTGCTCTCCCCATCCAGCTCACTGCCTTTTCCAGGCTGTGCAGGAATTTGTCTAGATTTAGTAGCCAAAGCCCTGACATCAGTGCAATCACAGGATGCTCTGGACAAAACAAAGTGAGAGGGTCATGAACCACTCATCCCAATGGCAGCACAATGGGGGGATATGTAGGGATACACAGAAATCCTACGTGTCTGTTAGGCCAATCCTGCCTTCAGCTAACAAAGTCACACAATGAAGTGGTATCAATCAGACCTAACCAGAATGAATCCTTGTAGGATGTTGAATACAAGTGTCTTTAGAAATGGAAAAAAATACACCTTTGAGCTAGCAAACATCAGTCTGAACAACTGATATAACCAGGCAATTTTCTGTTCACCCCTATTTTTGGACAGGGCTGTGGGGCCACGGTTTCCTTAGTGTTTAGCACAGCTCCATCCCACAAAAAAATCTGCAGTTTCTAATCTGCAAATACAAATGCAGTTTTATACTGAAACTTACCTCTAACACAGGTAGAGAAATAATGTCTGTTGCACATGTTACTCCAGGGATAACCTATAAACACAGATCAATTATTTATAGTCTCATAATGTAGCATAAAACATGGTATTGTTTGGGTATTAAGTCAACCTCCATTATCCATTTCCTCTGTGAAACTAGCTAGGTAGCCAAAACCATAGTCAGTTTTGCCAAAAAGAAATATGGAAGATGTTTCTCTCATTCACCTCACTTGAAAAAAAAGGCACCATATTAGAATATTGTCAGATTGGGGGAATTAAAATATACTATTTCCCCTCACTGTAAAGTCTTGCCTGAAGTTACTTCTGCAACTTGTAAATCTTAATTCTACTGATTCTGTTTGTCTTGGAAACCAGCTGCATGATTTTGCTGGTTAAATATATTCTATACTCATTATAAATCTCATAAGATAAGGAATAAATTCATACTTTGTCATGAAAACGGAGATATTTCATCATCCATTCCATTCTAGTAGCTGTTCTTATTTTATAAATGCTTTTATTTGTTGGCAAAACACTTGACTCATGGGAAACACCACAAACACTTGGCAAACTAAAACAGGCAGAAAGCACAGATATGGATTTAGAGCATATCTATGAAAAGGTAAGACACACAAAGGCTGGATTAAGGGAGAAAAAACAGACCCTCTAGCTATCAATTAAAGTACCAGCTGTTATCTTACCCCAATCCAGTCAAGCAGTGATGTGTAGGGCAAAAGTTTATCCAGGTTTTGAGTTTCTGGACACATTCTGCAGTACAGGGAGGCTGATGGCAATGAAAAAAGATTTATAAGGCTAAGATTTATAAACTATCAGTTAACAAGAGTAGGCTTCACAGTTCCTTATCTAGCACTTTTTTAGGGACAAATCCTGCTCCTGCCTCTGAAACAGCTTCCTCCGTGGTGGAACTGGTCCCATTCTGTGCACAAAAGGAGGAAGAGAAGTCCAGATGGCTGCAGGGCTGGGTCAGCTGCTTGGCTACAGCTCAGCACTGCAGGGGTCCTTTGTACAAAGGCTCAGGGCACAGGACATGCACTGGCTAGACTGAGCAATCAGCTATTAGAGGAGAATATCATGATATGCCAAATCCTTATTAAAAAAAATGGTTTGGGCTAGGCTAGAGGAGATTTGTTCCTCAGCTCCAATCTCTGACAATAATGCTAAATCTGTTTGTTCCATCAGACAGAAGAATGCATTTGAAAAGTTTTACTGTCAATCTGATTTTGAGATGGCTCTGTATCTTCTAAACTACTGATGTTGTCTCCAGCACCACAAAATGCAGGTCAATTAACACGAATCATAACCAGAATGTTCAGAAATAGGAGTCAGTTTGTAACACTGTGGCTGCTCCTTCAGTGACAACTAGAGGATGCAGGAAAAGAAATACCTACCAATGATAAACTCTTGAATGGGGTCAAAAGAATGACATGTTGACAGGTTCTCAGAAATCCACTGAATAATCTGTCAGAATGAGAACAGGGAGTTTGTCACATCTCTCTGTTCAACCATGTGTTGTAAAAGACCATAGAAACTTAGGTTTTGGTAGTAACATTCAGCATAAAGTACAGATACACAGACAAAGGTGTTCAGGACAGCTGGACCAATAAAGGGGCTTAAGGCAGCCCAGCTGATGAACTGTCATGTCAATCAGGACTTGTCTTTGGCTGATATCATTCATGCCCTGACCTTGCTTTGCATAAAAAATCTAAAGGAGGTTCTTTTCCCACCTGCATTTCCAAGTCTTCTGTGTGTTGGAAGTACAGCAGGGCACAATGCAGAGCTGCCAGTCTCTCACTGTCCTGTTTGCTATTCTGCAGGAGCTGCAGTAAGGCAGTGTCACTGATGCTCACAGTGTACATACTTCCTACTTGGCAATCCAGGACTGTTGACACGAGTGGGGATCGGATGGAACAGTTTTGTAACGTGCCAATTCTTGCATCCTCACCTGAAGGACATTGGTTAAAGTACAAAAAGGAATAAGAATATAAAATCTGTCTGCTCCCTGTGCTTCTCTTAAGAAAGGTCCTCAGCTGTAAGACACAGTTTCCTTTTTTCTACTAGCTGCCCTGGTATCATGCTGAAGAGGAGGAATGGTGCTGGCTGGATAAAGGAAATAGATAAGGAGGACAGTCCATACTCAGTTCTCTCCTTCCCTACTGCTGATACAAAGAAGGTGTAGAGACTCAAGGCTCACAGTGCTGTCCTAAAGCAGAGCACATGAGAAGGAACAAGAGAAGAACACAAGGCCAGCAGCAGAAGTTCAACACTAGAATTAGCTGGTACAGTTCAGAACTGCTCACATGCAGAGTCATGATACAAACTTGTATTGGAGGATCTCTTATCATCAGCCTCAATGGCCAGAACAGGAAAGTTCTGCTCTATGATTACTCATTGAAGCATCAGATCAAAGCCACTGTTTTTATGCTAGTACTAAGGTTCATAACCATGGTACTCTACAGGTACTGCATTTCAGACCCTGTGCATCAGGGAAATCAGACCCACCACACCACAGTGATGCTTTCCACTCATTTTTAGCAGAACAGTGTCTCATTATGCCTATAAAACAGGTATTAGCTTCCTGAGATGCTGCTCCTGCACCAGTTTCCACAACTTACTTCTCCTTCACCCAATCAGAAGAACAGGTTTCTGTTTTGAAACACAGGCCCCCCACTTCCAAAAATAACCCATTTCCCACAAAGACGTGTTTGTTGGGAATGAAACAACACACCTCTCAGATGAGACTCTAAATCAAATTGCATCAGCTTGATCAGGTGAAGGAAACACAGATTTCCTCTCCCCACACCCTCCAAACACACACATTTAGAGTAACTCAATTGGAGGAAGGAAATGTAAAATCAAATTTACATCTCCATGTGAAATTTGAGAACAGCGGAGGACCAAGAACCATGTGCAAGGATGGGGGAAGGGAAACTATGAAACCAAGGCAAAGAGTTTCAAACTCAGTGAAAGGTCTTTTCCATCTCATAACGAGCCAAAAGTAAGCAGTACATGAAGTATGAAATGTCACTTCAGCTTCTGTGTCTAAAATGGAAAGTGGCAAAAATGCCATTCTTATGTTTGCAGTCTCTCTCCTCCTTCAGAACACTGTGCAGTAAAGGAAACCTTGAGAAATACAACTTGCACATAAAGAGATTTGAACAAGTTTCCATTACAACAGTAACATAACGTCAAGCAATCTTACCATACCTGTCAGAAATAAACTATAGCACAGCAGGTCAGGATGTTGAATATTCAGGAGGTGCAGGAACTGGCCAGGCAAATAAGCAGCCACATAATAGTCTATTTAAAGAAATAACAGTGGTTAATTTAGCACTTGATCACTTATTTGCTTTAAGAGGCTATTTCACGTGATCCTCATCTTGGCCCACTTCTCCCTGGTGGAATTGATTATATCTAGGAAATATAAAAGGAGTCAATTAAAAGCTGCTGTTGTATTAACACAGGAAACACTAGCAGTACATTTGGGTTTCCAGGGGAGGATTCAAAAGACTTGAGACAATCAAGAACTCAGCAGCTGATGTCCAGGGCAGATTCTCAGCCCATTTCAGAGGAAACTACTTACTGATAGTGAGGTGTTGCAGTATTAAATGCCAAATATAACAGTTAAGGAAAACAAAAAACTGACAAAATAACACAACTAGGTAAAGTCAAGAAAAATAATCCTTTCCTTCTAGAGAAGGGTTAGCCATTTGTCTCCCTACTGGGGACAGAGAGTAGCAATCACACAGGGAAGTAACCAAAGTAACTTACCAAGATTCATAAAAGCCACTTCCTTCGATTTATGAGATTCTGTCCTTTCTAGAGAAACTCTAAAAGTTTTGTTGTAACCTGGGGAAAAATAACAACACTTTTTCAAAACCCAAACAATAAACACCGTTTGTTACAACCCATGTATGACTACAGCTAGAAACTTCAGCAGACCCAAACAGGGACATTTTAGACTGTTTTATGGGGTTATCTGCACAGACAGATTTACCTCATCCTAAACAGAGTTGCTGCACACTTAGTAGACTTGCACCTACACAATGTGGTTCTTCAGTGTGTGGAAAGCAGCCACGCACTGTACAGCCTCTGTTTGGGGTGAAAGAAGCATTCCAGCCCAGAGAAAGCATGTGTAAAGACACCTTTCCTCAGAGAAAAACCAAACACAAAACCTTTGTGTAGCTGTGCTTCACATTTGAGGGATTTTTTTGACTGCTCTAAAGAATTGCCAGTTTGTTTACCTGCATGTCCTATTGCTCTAATTTAGCTCAGCTCACTTTAAACACAGACCAACTTCAGACCTGCTGTGTTTGCATGGGCTGTGCATGAGCACAGCTGTTGTTTTATTCCGGACTCGTACCACACTTCTGGCACCCATTAAGAATGACACAAAGCCCTCAAACTTCCTCTGCCTCCGAGGAAAGCTGAAAGTTAAAGTAACAAATGCTGTCATGGTCAGGATGCTACTTAATCCTGCATGAGAATTCAATATAAGATCCACAGTTTAAAGGACCACCAAGGAAAAAAGCTGCTCATGAGCCACATTTCAGTCACTCATCCAGGGCCTGAATTCCTGACCCCAGCAGAGAAATGTGCTTTTTCTATGCTGCTAAAAAAGAGACCTCCAAGACCAACAGGAACACTACAGACAAAGGGGTATCAAAACAAACAGTTTTTCACACAAAATGCTGACTGAAGTTTGCTTGCAATGAGTCAATATACTCATCACTACCTAGTTACTCACCTCAAAGCACTTGCAAAGACCAGCACTGCAGAATACAACTGCAACGTGGTGACTTCTCTGTTTATGCTACAGAAGCTGCTTTAACAGGGGTGGAAAGCTTCCTGCTCAGTTTACAGATGCTGCAGGACAAACTGAACTCTTCACATGTCTCCACAATATGGCTCATGGACCAAATGTACCACTGGTGCTGTGGGCTACCTCAGGGCCAGCCTTAAAATTCTCTTATACAACTGATCAACCTTAGCTGAAGCCACAAACAGCTCTGCACCAAACAACTCCATTCCAAGGAGGTCATTTCAGAGGTAGCTAGTCAATGTCACCATATCTATCCTCAGTTTCTTCCTAGCACAGATCAGGATGTTCAAGGGCCATGGTTGGCTCCAAGCAATGCAACCAACCTTCAGCTACATCTCAAACACACCAAGGGCCATCAGCCCTCCCCAGCAGTGCAGTGCACAGTGTGTCACACCCAAAAAGGACTTTTCCAGTTTGTTAATGCCTTCAAGAACATAAAAATGCACTTCATTCAATCCCACAATGTTCCAGAAGCCAAGCAACACCTTAGTTCAGCATTGACATATGAAGAGTTTCCTGACACACAGAAGCAAACACTTAGAGTAAAACAGAGGTATGTTGTCCATTTGAACACAGTTCCTCCAGCTGATGAAATAATTCATCTCTCTTGTCCATGTATCAAATGAGCAAATCTTGCTAACAAGAAGTTTTATCCTGGTCAGAATAAAACCATCTTGTTTATTATTTTAAACCAAAAAAAAAAAAAGCCTTAAGAGCTAGAGCACCACTTACACAGCAACTATTCTTAGAGTCAGTGGGTGTTGAGCCTCTTGCTGTGAAAACGCCATGTGGAACTGGAACTCCAAACAGACATTCAAGCTAAGAGCTGTTGGCTCTACTTCCCATACAAATGCCTTATGGCATAAGTACAACACACCTGCAAGCTCCCACAGATTTCACTGATGTCTGTGCTCAGCATGTCTGGCTAGAAATGAGGGACCAAATTAATAACCATTTACAAGGCCATTGGTTTGAAGCTACTCATTCAGCATCAAGGCAGGAAGCCTACAGCAGGGTAAGTCTCCTTGGCAGCTAAAGGCAGCTGCTGTCTTTAAACACCAGCCACAGTAGTTTATTGTCTGCAGGGTTTGGTAGTTATTTGTTTTGAAAGGCATTCTGTGACTCTTTCAGCACAGTGACATTCTCCAAAATAAAGCATAGCAACTTAACAGGTTTAATCTTACCTTTGTGTAGGAAATAGATGGAGTACAGGATTTCATCAGGAGTTTCAGAGGCCAGGCTACAACACACACACAAACCTCCTGAAAAGGCAAAAGAGGAGAAGAAAATGGACTTGTCCACCTATCTAGACGTGTTTATACTGCACAAAACTAAAGCAAGGCTTTCAAATTAGAAATAATCTCTCAAAAAAGGTAAAGATTACAGAAATAGCTATTATGTACCTCTGACCATCATTTACCTAATGAAAGAAAATCAGGAGAGAACACAAGTGGCAATAGGGCACCGTGGAAACCTTGGTCCTGACACAGCCTTTTCTTCCCTTTAGGACATTTAAACTCTTCCCAGTAGAAACTTCCTTGCAGCCAGAAAACTGAACAAGCCTTTATCTCCATAGACTGCCTCAATCCAGGTATTTTCTGCTCAGGGACTGTTAAATATGCTCAGAACAACACAGTAAAACACAGTTTGTTTGCTTTTGAAGTAATTTCATGTTGGCAGCAGTGTGATACACTACTAGAGCTTTAGCACACTAGAAATTATAGTCACTTCTCCACTTTCCAGCCCAGAGAGCTGTTAATTTGTTTTTTAGGAGAAAAGTCAGTCCTTGGCACAAGTTTATTTCACCCAAGGTACTGTGTCCAGGAATGCTCCCTGCTCTCAGCCTAATTCTCCATCAGACTGATCCTGTTTTGACCCCACTGGGTGGTAGCCCTGCCTCCATCTCTTATAAAAACTTTAATCCACTTACTCTGATGCTTTGGCATTCACGTTAGAAACAGCTTCCAAACCACAGTATTCCAACAGAGTTGGGAAAGCTGTGCCACAGCTATGACCATCTACCTTCTACCTTTATTGAAAGTTTAGCACTCAAAAGAAAATGTAATATAAATACAGATACTGTTCTGTAAAAAAATAAAGGCTATGTGTACAAAGTATACAGAAAATGGCACAGTATGGAGAAAGCACAAACACAAAAAAAGCACAGCTACCAAGAGACTTTATTTGATTAAATGCCTCCTATTTCACACCACGAAGCTGCACCATAGCTGTGACACAGATATGGCTGAGACACTTCACACTTCTGCCTTCTGGGGAAGGTACTGTCTTGAGATGCCTTTTTTTTTCCTTTTCTGCTTATTCTTAGCTGATTGAATATTGTTTTGATACAGTTTTGCTTGGATATTTGAGTCATTCAGACAACAGACAGGGCATTTTGCCAGAGCACTTGGCATCTTTCAGAGCATGCATAATTTTTAAAGTAGCAGCATCAGGACTCATGAGGAAGGCTGGAAAAGCTCCAGCAACCCACAATGCTGTTTTATTGTCAACAGCTCCTTTCCAGCACTGCAAATTTCTTGCCTGTATGCTGGAGGGTAGTGCAGTGTACACTGTTCTGTACATCACACAACGTGCAAGTGAGTCTGTTCAGGCTGAAGTGGGTAATATGTGCAAGCTGATCACAGGAACAGCAGCTCTGGGGGACTATTAATAGGATATGCATCTTTCAGCTCTAGGCTACTGGTCCAAATGTCAACGAACTGAGCCACAAAATGCCGTGGTAGGCTCAGATCAGCAACATTTCATCTGACCCAGCCCTGGCAATCCCACTAGAGCAGTCAGAGACTGAGAATATAGGACAAACTCCTTTCCTACCCTCACCAATCCACTCTGCAAATTAGAGCTGGGTTGTGTTGTGCTGCTGCAGGGAAAGGTTGTTATCCTGTTGCACCTCTATGGTAAGTGTATCATGCAAAGGCAGAACCAGGTCTTCAACACTACCCACTTCAAAATCATTTGCAAACAGCAGGAGCTGTAGCTGAAATGCCTCAATGTGAGAAGGCTTACATGAAGATATGTTTGGGTGGGCTCTTATCTGTCCAGAAATAAAAGGGAAAAAAGATCTCAACCACAATGAAGTTTTGCTCCTATTCAGGAAACAACAATCACAACTCTGGCACTTCATAAATAAATGTCATACCACTGAGACTGTAGGAGACACCTGTGAACAGAAAGTTTTCCCTAGGAATCTTTAACTTCAAATTCCTCATTTCTGTTCAAGCCAAAGCTCAAGACATGAGGCTGTACCAACATCTCAATGTGGCATCCAAGTGCCAGAATTCAAATACATTGCAGCAGGGCATTTTGTCTAGTTGTACTGAAATGGGAGTGACTTGCCTCACTTAACTTCAACCATCCAAATATCTCTTGTTTAGACTCCTATACATCAAAAAGAAATCAAGCAGTCACCCTCTGGAATTGCCTATTTTTCTCTAGAAACATAGTTCAGATGCCTAACTTTCAGGCAGGTAGTTAGGTGATAGTAATCCAGTGTCTATGTCCTATTACTGCCTGCATTTCTTTTTATAATGCTGAGAAAGTGTAATTGAAAAGCATTTCTAAAGCACTAAGAGAAAACATAACAGCACAGTGTCTTTTAAATAACCACTGAATTCTGGACATACAAAGCTAATTCTGAAACTAGAACTGCTTGAGCTCAGCTACTCAAGGACACTGAGGTTTGTATCTGGAGACATTTTGTCTGTGCTGAGTACAAGGAAGTTTGAGAAAGGAAGAGTGATTTCAGACTGGCAGGAGCTAAGAACAGTTTTATTAAAAGGGAAATTGCATGGAATATTCAAGTTTGACGTTAAGCCAATTACTCTTTGCCAGGGATGTCTGAACGGTACAAATAGGGATGTTGGCATTAATTTTTGAGGCATGTTAGCAGTTCCACAGAAGGCACAAAAAACTTGCAGTCCAGTGTTGCAAATCACCACAAACTGAGACACAAAAGGGAACTTCAATGTGATCACCCACAGTGTCCTTTGACAACCAGACACAGTCTCAGCACCAAAAGTTAGTTACCCAAAATGGGCCATGCAAGGCAATCCCCAGTTTCAAACAACATTCAAGGAAAAGCCACATGGAGTAAAGTCATTAAGTGCAACTGTCATGTTCTGTGTTTAACATGAAGTGCAATGGAAAGTACTTGTGAAATGCTCCACACAGATTTTAAATACTGTGCTGCCAGATGGAAAATAACATCTTATTTCAGGGTAACCAAACAAGAATCTTGGTGGAGGATGACTGAATTTTATCCCAAACTAAAGGATGTGTTTCAATACCCCAGAGGAGTATACGAAACATATACACAAAGATCAATAATATTTTCCAGTATTGGACAGGCTGTTGGCATAAGAAATGATGTTGCTAAGAGAGAAAAGGTAGCCTAATCTACATTCGGTAGATAGAAACTTGGCTTCCTCTTACTTGTAATTCCTCTCCTCTAATCTTTACAAGCTTGAAGTCTGCCTTGGTAAGAGAAAAATCCATGTAAGGCAACTGTACTTCTCTTGATTTGCATCAGTGGTCATTTCAGTGCAAGTGGCAAACAGCTCAGCGATTCTCCCACGTGCACAGCACACAAACCCTTGGGGAGAGAGATGGAAAGCCACTTCTGCAACACTTCCCTGTGCAACTCTGCACACAACTCAAAGGTTAAGCAGATACCATCTCTGCCTGCCTGTATGGTCTAGTTTAGAAGCTGAAAACAGCTGTGATGAACAGATACCTCGAGACCATTTTTAATCAAAACCAAAAGCTCATGGCATGCATTAGGCTGCATTAGGTTTAAGAAACCTTTTAAGTTTAAGTAAGCAATCATGTGTATACTAAACCCTTGAGCAGCACATGCCAATGTTAGTATCACATACCTGGACCTTCTAAGCTTCACATACTAACAGCAATATGGAACTCTTGGAGTCTGTGTTGCACTTGCTCTGTGCACACGTGTCCACTTTGTAACACACACATATACTCTGTCAGAATCCCAGGGAACCAGCCTGGCCAAAACCTCCCTTGAAATTACTTTCTAACATAATTTTGGTGACCTTTAACATCAAATTGCTTTAATGCAACATACACAACCATGTGTTGGTGCCACCTATGTTCTGGAGCTAGGAGGGAAATGCTACAGTGTGCTTAGACTGAGATGTTTCACTGATGAGAGCATGAGACCAGTTCTATGAAGCTACCACAAAATTTCTGTGCAACTGTTTTGCTGTTGGTATTGATATATAAACCCCTGAGTACTCAACTTCAGTGCAGATTTCAGAGGGTAAAAACAAATCAATAAGACAAATAAACCACAGTTGCTTTCTCCCTCTCCTCACAGTTACCTGCCAAGTATACTCCAAAGGAATACAAATCTCATGTTCACATCATACATATTTTTATCTCTGTGTGTTTTTAAAGAAATCTAATCATCAATTATGATTACACTGCAAGATAATTACTAGTGGAGATGATTTTGACCATAATTGTACATATTCATTACCTGCTTTACTTGTGAAAACCTGAAGGTTCAAAGATTTAGATGTAACATCTTGGTCCTGACAGGAATCATATCCAAAATTCACCAGTCTGTGAGCAAATAAAAGATCACTAAATAAATCACCTCAGCCACAGAGATTTATCACAATGCAAAAATCACAACAGTCACTATGTAATCAATACATACTAACTAAATGATAATCAAATGTTCTCTAATGCAAGTTTTATGAGGACAGGCTGAGGAAGTTGGGGCTGGAGAAGAGAAGACTGCATGGAGACCTCAGAGCAACTTTTCAGTATGTGAAGGGGCTACAGGGAAGCTGGAGAGGCTGCAATGATAGGACAATGGGTAATGGGCTCAAACTGAAGGAGGGAAAGTCTAGGTTGGATGTGAGAAAAAAGTTTTTTCCTGTGAGGGTGGTGAGACACTGGCAACAGGTTGCCCAGGGAGGCTGTGGCTGCCCCAACCCTGGCAGTGTTCAAGGCCAGGTTGGATGAGCCTTGAGCAACCTGCTCTGGTGGGAGGTGTCCCTGCCCAGGGCAGGGGGTTGGGACTAGATGACCTGTAAGGTCCATTCCAACCCTGAAATTCTATGATTCTGTGAAGTTAAATTACGCTTTAACCAATTTTCTCAATGCTGCTAGGAAAGAGAATCCCAACACTGCACACTGTTATCCAACAGCTATCCATACAGTTATCCACTGTTATCCCAGCTGCCAACTTCTCTGCACTGACTGCATTGTCCAACCATTCTAACACTTTGAAGTGAAAGCAAGTTCTGATTAGGTGCTAAAAATCCAAACACACATCATGCCTGTTAACTCAGAGGCTTTTCAGGCTAATTCCACAGCCCATGTAGGTAAAGCTACATTTTAAGCTGCGATTAGGAACACTAACTTCAGTGGAAAGACTTGAAAAGGAAAGCACAAACTCACGTGGAACTTGTTTTACCATGATATTTTCATCTTGTGCTGCCTGTGCTTTATTGGTTTTACATATCTCTAAATATACAAATCCCATTTTTGCCCTACAGAACACACAACAGCAGATTGTAGTCAGCCTGCTGTGGCTTTTTTGGTGTTAGGTGGTTTTTGAGCTTTGGTTGGAATTTAGAAGGGATTTTGATCCTGTGGGGATTTTCCTCTAGGTATTCTGCCATAATTTAAAAAAAAAAATAGTAAAATACAGCACTGAAGCCCTTAGAAGAGCCAGATTTGTTCAGTACTAACTGCAAGACGATACTGTGCCCTGTTAGGGCAACCTGAGCCTTATCCATAGCACTGAGACTGGTCTAGTAACCATGGTAGGGTTGGACTCCATGATCTTGGAGGTCTTTTCCAACCCAGTTGATTCTATGATTCTATGACATTCCCAGAGCCACACCTTGGGCAGGGTGGAACTCAACTACCTTCAGCTATTGACATCTGACCCAGTAGCTTTAGCCTTCATTTTTATCCACAAAGATAAACAGGCCCTTTTAGAATGTAAATTCAACTGATCGAAGCTAGATGAGGATGAGATGAATTATGACTGAGAGTCAGACCACCCTGACTAGCTTTTTTACCCCCTGAATTAAAAGGGAGCCTTAAGGAGACAAGCTCAAATGCATGTGCATGGCAGACACAGATAGAATCAGACAAAACTTTGTCTCTGAAAGTGCAGGCTGCCTGGAAAGAGCATGCTGGAAGAGAACAGAGTATGGGCAGAGCCTCAGAGGCTGTAAAAAGGAGCTACTCGTGTGGTTAACTGCTCAGTAAAACTTGCAACAGCAATGAAAAATGGAGAGCTTCCCTTGCCAGAAACATTGACATCACCACGGCAGCATGCCCAAGGTTCAAACAAATTAATTCACATAGGTAGAGCACACTCAGAAGGTTTAACCTATAGCTTTAACCTACAGCTAATTGCTAAAAAGGGCACCAAGAAGCAGTCAAGGATTAAATTCCTTTTTACAGCTGACCCTGATGAAAATAAGAACTGGAGGTTTAGATATAGTGTTGATGTTACTCTTATGTTCCAGGACCATGTAGGCAAACAAAGAAACTGTGGTTTGGACAACTTTTACTTAAGTTAGTAAAACATTACCATATATATTAAAAGGAAAGCACAACAAAACATTAAACAGTCCAAACCACTTACTTTAATTGTGTGTCATTTACAGAAACATCCAGGTGTGATTCCAGCTGTTAAAAATGCAAACAAACCTGTTATTTAGTGAGGTCAGCAATGGTGATTAGTATTTCTGACCAGTAAAATGTGTCACATTCACATGTCACCAGATTCAACACTTTAACAGTTTATTTACCCTCCTCTAATCCTTACAGTCACTCAAAAAAACCCAACCCCATAAAACAGATTCTTTTCTTAAAAAAAAAAATCAATTGAGAGATATTTAAGCTCCTGCATTAGAGCAAATTTCAGCCACTGGGAGAAAGGTCTCGTAACGATTACCTGCTGTAATTTTTATGCTTTGTTCTCTGTGTTTTGGCTGCAACAGATTTTCCTGTCTCACTTCAAACTGACACAAAATTAGCACATGGTTTCTTTACCTAGTGCACTTGCTAAGGCTGCTTGTTCAATAACTGAGTAGAAGATTGGTATAATGTCATGAATGTCACTTACTTCCTTCTGGGTCAATAACTGTTACCTTACTGTGGCACAATCTGAATCTGACTGAATATATCCTTGACAAGAAAATAATGAAAAAAACCCAACACCAACCCCAAAAACAATGAGAAAAAAAACCCAACCCAGTTTTTCTCTGAAAACATTTCAACAATAAAAGACACTGAAAGAGATCTCTGTATCAGTGCCTGGAACACAAAATTATATCCCACTAAGCAAATTTGTATAATAAAACACTCAAAACTTACTATTGCGTTAAAATTGTCATCAGGATAAAACTGGACACACTTTAAAGTACTCTTTGATTCCTGGAATTAAAAGGATTTGTTTTGTAACTGAGAAAGCACATGACACAGACTGAAAAGTGAGTGGATACTCCACACCATTCTGCATACTCAACCTGCTTTGCTAGCAGATAGGCAGAAGTTAGGGGACAAAAGAAGACTTTAAAAACCACATATAACCCCCCACAATAGCACTATGACATGCTTCCTTCCTGTCCCAGATCATTACCTGCCAATCATCTATAATTGCGTGGGCTCTCACTTGAAGCACAGCAATACATGTCTCAGACATTCTAGCAAGTGAAAAAAATGTTTTCCATCACTACCTATATGGCAAACAGAACTGTGTCCTTTTTTGGTCAGTTCTAAAAAAGGGTATCTCAGAAACAAAAACAGGAATACATTTCTCCACCACTGTTCACTTCCTGTTATTTCCTAACATTCATTCTTTCTGTGGCTACGAAGAGGTAAGAAAAATCAATTTTCATTGATACAGAGGACATCAAGTGCCAATATTCTCTAAAACAGAAATAAAACCCCAAACCTAAACAGTTTCAGAGGTTCTAACCAAGAACCTGCCCTCATTTGGTCACTCAGTAAGTCTGTGTACAAAATACTTTAGAGGCATCTGGATCTGGCACTGGAGGATATGGTTTAGGGTTTAGGTGTTCCAGCAGTGACAGGTTAATGGTTGGACTTGATGGTCTTAGTGGTCTCCTCCAACCTTGATGATTCCATGATTCTACTTTCCATATGTGAATTCTCTAGAACAGAGGCATTCACAACAGGTTTTGGTAGATTTAGATCCTTATGAATAAAAGAACATTCTAAAGCAAAAAAACCCCTAACAAACCCACCCTTTGGTATAGAAAGCACTAAGACCACCAGTCTTCTTGCAATTTACTAAGCACCTGGCTAATGGTTGGACTCAATGATCTTAGAGGTCTCCTCCAACCTTGATGATTCTATGAGTCACCACAGCAGTTAAGCAAGTCTGGCTTTTGCTTGAGGTTATTTGAGGCAGGAACAAGACAGACAACCCTAATGAACATAAACTCACACTTCTTACGCCACACACTCAAAACTTCACTGTCACTAGGCAAGCAGGAACAAAACTGCAAGAATCACTTTCATCTCACCTTTGGAACAATGTAGAAGAGCCTTTGTTCCATCATATCCCATTGTGCCCAAACAAGATCATCTGCAACTCTGGCTCTTGGAAGCTGACCTGACTTTTGAATCACCTAAAGGGAAAGAAAGAACATTAGAAGTCAAATTAGGTTCTACAACAACTGTGCACAGTGCTTTAAAGAGAAAGGCAATGACTGAAGAGGCACAAACGCTAAGGTGCAGCACAAAGTCCACCTTTGTTGTGTGCAAGGTGCTCAATTTAAAGGCATAGGAAGCACAGTTGTTAGGGTGCACACACTAACAAATCTCTTCTTTCAGATCTCCATGCTTGCAAGAAATTCACCACTTAAGCTGCTCAAAGCAAATCAAGAAAAACAGAGAGCTCTCTTCATCATAGAGGAGAGAAATATCACAGACAGTTCAGAATCAGCTACATTAATAATCAAACGAAGATGTGACAGCTCCAAAAGAGATTCCTGTCCAAAGTCTCAGCCACATGACAGAGAGCACTGAAGGCAGGGAAAGGACTAGAGTTGTGGAAAACTGCTGGGATTGTATAAATGCACACTTGAAAGAGGTAGGGAGATTTCATGTCAACTAAAAAAATTCAGATCAATCTGTTTTCTCATTACACTGAGTCATTACTCCACTCCTGTAGTCTATATAAAACCCATCTGCTTTAAAAGTCATAACAAACTGAAATCAGGTCCTTAGCTTTTCCTGCCAAGCCTACATCTGTCTCCAGAAAGCAAAACATTGGCTTTTGTGACACAGTTCTTTACTGTATTAGATGCATGTTTACTAATTAGTCTTATAAGCAAAACACCCACAATTTGTTGGAGGCAAATTCATGTTGAAAATAGGAAAAAGAGATGTTGGAAAAAAAGAGACTGGAACATTCACTGTACTTGGACTGTGTCTAAGTTTTACATCTTTTATTTGCTTGCTTTTTTTTTGAGTGAATCATTTACTGGGATCACACAGACTTCCAAAAGGCAAAGTTAGGAAGGTGACTGAAAACACATTTACTCCCAACTTCTAACATACAGAAGCATTCAGCAACAAATAAGAAACAATAAAATAAGTAACTTTCATCTAGATTACAAGGTATACAGGTTTATCAATCAGCTTTGTGGTTACCTTGCCATACTGTCAATAGTTTAATATACTTTCTGTTGCTCAAGTATAAAAACGACAAAAACTGTTAGATAAAATTACAGGTATTTACCTTTTCAATTAAAGCAAAAAACATCAAAACCCAAATTTGTCAAGTCTTACCACTTTGTGTTCTTCTTCTGCAACAACAGGAATGTCAAATTGTTCAATATCTTTAAAAGATACAAAAGAATCATTACAAACACACATTTTGAAACACTTTCAGCTTAGCAAACAATCTCACCTCTTAGAACCCTATGAGAACACATTAGGGGCAGGAAAGTTCAACTCTGTATACTAGGAAACCTGTGATATACGAACACAGATGCCTACACAGAGACTTGGACTCTCCTCCCTCCCTGAGCCAAGAAAGAAACAGTTCTCTGCCCACATCAGCACAGCACAGGCAGGAAAAGACCCAACTGAAACATGCCCAACCAAGCCAAGAGGCACACCTGGAAAGCAAGAGCCCACAGAGCTGCATGCCCATGCCCAAGACCACACCCTAGTCCCGTTTCACTTCCTAGCATGAATTCCCCCTTCACAGTCCTCTCCTGTGCAAAATTCCTCAAAGTTATTCCTAGTTGGCCTGTACAAAGAGTGCAAGATTCACTCAGCAGGTGGTAAGGTTCTGATACAGTTCACAGCACCATGTGAATGTATTAGGAGGTGAACTCCAAGTGCAGCTACCCAAGGGTGGTGTCTAGCATAGGTGGGTCTCTCCAAAGAGCTGGGAAAAGCAATCTCAGTCTATAAGAAGACTGAAAAGCAAGAGCAATAAACAGCCTATCCATCCCCTGACAGTAGATTAGGCTGAACATGCAGTGTTAGCTGACTCCAAGGAACTATGGTCCTACCCTTATCCCACTTGCTACACATGAAATCACAGTCCATGTTTCACAGCCAATTGATCTGCTCTGAATTTACACAGGCAGCTATAAAGAATGCATTTCAGCTTTTTTAGAAATAAAGGTAAGTGCTGAATGCATGAACTAAGCAACTAACTGCAGCCAAAGATGCTCATTCTGTTAATTTTGAAACCATCCCAGGAAATGATACAGTTTTTGAAAGACCTTTGGAGTACCTAGAATAGCTTTTTGAAATACCTTTGGAATACCTACAATAGTTCACACCTTTTTTTCCTGTTTTTTTCCTGATAAAATTAAAAAAAAATCATCTTGAGGTCAAAGAATGACAACATACTTTGAAAAAGTTACTCACATTTATCTTCTGAAACTAGCAAGAGGTGACTTTCTGTGGAAGTATTTCTGCCATCAACTGGATAAAGAAACTATAGAGAAAGTTTCACAAAAGTAAGTAAACAACCAAAGTAGCTTAGAACACTTTTCTAAATGGGGGTTTACACATTTTTAAATTAAGGCAGGAACACTAATGATATTTAACTCATAAAAATAGCTATTATTGCATACTAATTGTCACCAATCACCATAACTTCAAGCTTCAAGGGACTGAAGAGAAATAACAAGCAGTCTTCATGTTGGAGAAATATTCTACATCAAACATTTTATGAAGTTTCTTTTTTTAATTCTATGGAGAAACATAGGGCGTATCTCTCTAACAACTGCAAGATAACATGAGATATTTCTGCACTTGATCACATTTTCTCTCTAACACAGTGGATGACAAAGGGTTATCTTTAGGTTAGTTGAGTAATTTACCTGCACTCTAACACAGCTATCCACAGCCTTCAGGACTCTCACATTATTAATGGGATGAATTTCAATTAGCAGAGTTAAATACTTGGATGCTGAAAAAGAGAACATGTTTTAGATAACATTCTTTCATGTACACCATTTTGTCTTCTAAACAGAAATTAGGTGGGAAAACATGCAAAAGGGTGTCATATTTCAAACAGTATTAAAAAAATGCACTTGCAGTACCTGACTGTAATAGCTGACTTGTTCTTTCTTCCTCTGTATGCTGACAGACGGTGACAGCTAAGGGGGAAAAACACCAACACAGGTACAGTGAGTGTATTTTGTATTAACCTTACTAGACATTCTTGAAGAGCATCACAATGTTTTCACAGAAAGCATATATGTTAAAGGAACAACAGAAGCTTTTCTAGATGTAGGAGGCATGCAAAAATGCAGGAGGAAGAACTGGACAAAGGGTCAATGTGTCTTAGATGTTCATTTTAATAAAGTATCAATATCATAGAATCATCAAGGTTGGAGGAGACCTCTAAGATCATCAAGTCCAACCATTAACCTGTCACTGCTGTAGCCCCCAAACCCTAAACCACATTATCCAGTGACAGATCCAGATGCCTCTTAAACACTTCCAGGGATGGTGACTTCACCACCTCCCTGGGCAATATTCCAGTGCCTGAACACCCTAACAGGGAAAACATTTCTCCTAACATCTCATCTGACTCTCCCCTGTCTCAGCTCAAGGCCATTCCCTCTAGTCATCTCCCTGCAGCCATGGCAGGAGAGACATCCCTCACCTCTCTACAACCCCTATCAGGTAGTTGCAGAGAGCCATGAAGTCATCCCTGAGCCTCTTCTCAAGGCTAAACAAACCCAATTCCCTCAGCCCTTCCTCATACATATTTTCCAGACCTTTTCTGCCCTCGTTGCCCTTTGCTGGACTCACTCCAGTGCCTCAATATCATTTTTGCAGTGAGGGGCCCAAAGCTGAGCAAAGCACTGAGGTGTGACCTCCCCAGTGCCCAGTCCAGGGGGATGATCACTGCCCTAGTCCTGCTGCCACACTCTTCTTGCTCCAGGCCAAGATGTCCTTGGCCTTCTTGGCCACCTGTGCACACTGTTGGCTCACACTGAGCCGCTGTCACCAGCACTGCCAAGTCCCTTTGTGATGAACAACTCTGTCCTCACTTCTGCCCCAGCCTGGAGCTGCATGGGATTGCTGTGTCCTAAGTGCAGCACCAGCTCTGAGCCTCATTGAACCTCATGCAGTTGTCCTCAGCCCATTGATCAAAATAACCTATATGGTTACAGCTGCGTCTTGATGTTGTTACCTACATTATTTGGTGATGGATCCACTGAAGTGCACAGACTGCTGTGGGCAAGGTATAGGTCAAAATCAATTTAAGTAAGTCTAGACCCAAATGTATCATCCTAGTAAACTACATCTTCCCCCAAGAATTTTAATGATAAATCACATATTTACCCAATAATGTCCTTTCGTTGTTGATCGAACAGCTGATTATATGTAGATCCTTCTCAAACATATAGAGGTGCTACAGAGAAACACATTAATGTTAATAAATATGCTTTTTTTAACTACATAAAATCATCAAGGTTATAGAAGACCTCTAAGATCATCAAGTCCAACCATTAACCTGCTACTCTGCTGTAAAGAAAACCACCTAATCACTTCTCCTTAAGAAAACACTGCTGACCAGTACACAGTTTTTGCCTTTAAATATATCTTTTCATGGTCAGAAGAACCGTATTTCAAGCCTCAGTTGTATCAGTTCTTCTTTTTCTCATTTGTTTCTTACTGGTTCTTTTGAGCTCTATGTTCCCCCTAGAGCAGCCCAGCAGACCTTTCTGTAAATACAAAATTTCACCCATTTCATACTATTTTGGAGACACCTACAAAGGCCTGTTAGCATGGTTCTGGTCACTGAATTGCAGTCCATTCAGGTTCAGAATAATTTCTCACCAACAGTAGCACCAAACAGACTGAGGAGGCACCACTAACAAAGAAAACTCCTCACACTTACTGCCCAAACATAGCACATGTGTTCAGTGTGAAGAGAAATGGAAAGGGCTTGAAGAGAAATGGAAAGGGCTTGAATTGGTTGTCTAGAAATAAAGATTGCAGGTGTGATCCTTTACTACTCTCCAGCCATTCAGATGTTGTGCAATGTGCTGCATCTTAACACTACAAAGAATCATTCAAATACCTTCTCTGGTCTCTCTTCTGTTTCAAACAAGGAGATCCCCTTAAGGACATAACAGACTCTGTCACAGGGCATCAAAATCTGAAACACTGCAGCACTGTCTTCACCAGGGAAAAAGCTGGTGTTTCTCTCACCTCATTTTGTTTAGCTTGAAGATCATACAATCCAATGTGGGTGTTTCCCTGATTTCCCTATGGATTAAAACAAATTAGCACTGGCAATATAAACATATACAAAGTTAAACACTGTTTTTATTTTCTCCCTATTTCCCTCTT